AAAAAAAAGAGGAGTGACATGATAACAGCAGTGACTGGAGCATAGCAGAGAGTCTGAGGATGACACAGGTCCAGGTTGGGTTTTGATCTGCTCTACACAGGTTTGCTCTGAATTGGAGGTAACTTCAGGACACCTAACATCAACAGTAAGTTTGGCACTTGGTGACATTTTAAGGAGTTCGTTAACTTTAGCCTTGTCTAAACTACTTAAACTCAAAAACCTTTACAGATCAAATGTATTTTTCTCCTGTCTTACCACTTTGAAAACAGACATCTAAGTCAAAATATGATTTAGGACTTTACACTGATAAAGGACTAAATGCAACAAAACTAAAAACATTCTGAATCATTTGGTCTAGGAAGCGTCAAGTTAAATAGAGAACTAATGAGTTCCCAAGAGCTACAGAGCCATTAAAGATTGGCTATGAAACATTTTATAAATGAAACCATAAATAGAACAGAGAAAACAGTTTTTTAAAAGGGTGTGTACTTTCCTTCCATCCCAATACCCTCTAATATTATAATCATTATCTCCCAGAATAACAGCAGGTTTCTGAACATACACAAGCATAGTCATTTCTTCTCAAAAAAATCTCTTTTTCTGCATATGATCCATTTCTTTTCTTCATTATCCACAATTAAAGGAGAACAATAAGTAGGAAGGGGAAAGAAATATTTGCACCATTCATCGTTGTATTCATCGTTTGTTTTTCATAATTTTCTAGTCCACTGCTGTCAGTTCTGAGTCAAGATGACTATCAGGTTCTCAAGACTGTAAATCTTTGTGGGATAAAATGGCTTATTTTTCCCCAGTAGAGCAACTGATGGACTTGGACTGCTGGTTTTTCCAGTGGTTGCCCACTCCTAACATATTATGTAAACAGAACTCCTTGTATGATTCGAATTTTATAGTTTGGCAGTAGCTCATGCAACTTTGTTACTTTAGGTCTTTTTTTCCCTTTTTTTAAAGATGTAGGAGACTATTGATATTGAAAGAAAATAGATGAGAAAAAAAAGGTTGCATATTTAAGAATTCAAGTTCTTCTACTTGATTGCATAAAATCCCAATGTTGAATAAGGAACATTGAGAAATTATTTGTATTTTCTGTACACTGAGGAATACCAAGAAATGAATTATATAAAATCTGTAGTTAAAAGGGGAAGAAAACATAAATAATAACTAAATCCTCTCTTCCTAGTGAGATTTCCTATATTAAAAATGAAAATTCCATTTCCCTAAAGTGTCAAATTATATGCAAGTATTTCTTGCAAATAAAAATTAAGTTAGCCAATTAGTTCATGTTCTCTTAGTCATTCTTCAGGTGGAAATTGAAAAATAGTTTTGCCAAAAAATAAAATTAGACTAGTATACAATAGAACAACTCTCCTGAATTCAGACATCTTTAAATATTAACTAGTTAAGAAAAAAAAAGATACTGAAGACTGAGGTCATAGTTGGCCCAAGGTCACAGTAATACATCTCTCATTGTCTACTAGTGACATTTGCTGAACATTACCTTGAGCTACATTTTTAGCATTCCCCCTGGCATGCTGAGATTAGATGTGACATTTCTTGGCCAAAATAAAACACAAGGTCGATTCTAAAGAATGTAACACTATATATTTTCCCCTGTACAACTTTGCATTTGCTTATCTATAGTACACAGGCAGTTCGTTTTAAAGCATGAGGCTTATGAACCACCCTTAGCATGTGCTAAGTCCTTCTGCCACCATTGCCTCAGCTATAGGGCCACCTCCTGAGTCTTCAGTAAAATCCTTGACACAACAGCCACAGTAGAAGTCAGAATTCTTCAGCTCCTATTAAAGAGCCTTCCCCCAAAGCCAGGAAAGGATAATATTTTCACCAGCAGTAAGTTTTCCACTGATATAATGCTATAAAGGATGATTGGCATATATAAACCCAGGAAGGTGACTATTTAACTCCTTTGTGAGTTAAATAAGATTTGTGTAACATTAACCAAACATCGTACACACACACACACACACACACATTTAGGGAAAACCACCCATTGGTAAATTGATAATTCACTCATTTACCCCACTGGGTTAGTTCCGACTCCTGGTAATCCTCCATTAGTTTTGAGGCTGTAAACGATAAGGGGAAGAGACTCCCCATCTTCTTTGAGGAGCTATGGGGAAGTGAAACTGCTAGAAAAGCATACTCTTTGGGTTAGTAGTACAACTTGCAATAACTATGCCACCAGAGATCCCCAGATGTGTGAGAGGAATAATGATTTTTTTGAAATATCACAAGCATATGTCATTATTCTTCCTCCAAGTCTTAAAATTAAGAAGAAAAACAAAACACCTCTGGCCTGCGGGTCAGCTTTGCTTTCATGATCATGTCAATCAGTAATAAAAATGATGAAAATATATTTGAATTTTGCTCTCTGAATGAACTACCAGGCTTGTAAAATCCAAGCACTTTTCGTAGTTCACATGAATTCTTCGTAATGGTTGTTGTTAAGTGTCACTGAGTTGAGTATGACTGACTCATAATGACCACATTAATAGTAGATCTGAACTGTTATATGCTGTGTCGTTCTTATCATCCTTAACATAGACATATACAATATGCCACAGACAATGTGTCAATCCATCTCACTGAGGGTCTTCCTCGCCTTCACTGACCCCTCTACCTTTCCAAGGAATAACCTTTCCTAACAACCTGTCAAATAGAGAGATAGATAAATGATAGATAGATAGATAGATAGATAGATAGATAGATAGATAGATAGATAGATGATAGATAGATAGATATAAAGCTTCACCATTTTTGCCTCCAAAGAAACTGTGTGTGCACTTTCTTCATGACATATCTGTTTGTTCTTTTTTGCCATCCATGGAGTATTTCCGCACTATTCTCAAACACCACAAATAAAATTAATTAATTCTTCTGTCATCCTTATTCATTGTCCAGCTCTTAGATGCATAGCAGGTGATTGGAAAGACTGTGGCTTGACTTAAGTGCACCTTAGTCTTTATGCTGACTTCATTACTCTTCAGGACTTTAGCAAAGTTCCTAACAGGAGACTTTCCCAAAGCTATATGTTTCTTGATCTTCTGACCGCTAGTACCAAGGGCATAGACTTTGGATACAAGCAAGATGAAATCACTGGAAATTTCAGTCCTTTTGCCAGCTATCATGATGTTAACTATTAGTCAAGTGATTTTTGATCACTAATTACTTAGTAATTAAGATACTTAATATAATTAAGTAAAAAAATTCCTATAAAACAATAATATTCTCTAATGCAAAGGAAGTTGTAAGCTTAAAAGTATGTAAATGTAATTATAGTCAGTCTTCCTGGTGGGTTACACGACACAATGAAATATACCAAATATATTTTATGACCATATATTAATATATATAAATACATTTTAAAATATATGTATATAGTTTTATTCTGTAATAAATTTATAACTATATAATAACTAGTCAAGAAAAAAAGATACTGAAGACTGAGGTCATATTTGACACAAGGTCACAGTAACATGTCTCTCATTGTCTACTAGTGACATTTGTTGATATATTTTATAATTAATACATATTAAGAGTTTATTTTGTCTTAAGCCAGGTTTTATCTAGAAAGGCAATTCTCATGTACATTGAGCATGTTATTTTGGGGGAAAGCATCACGCTGTGAAAGGGAGCGGGTCTGAGAAAGGGAGGCGTAGTCTCACTTAGATGAGTTACCCCTACAATGGGCTTGAGAGTGACATAGATTGAAAAGATGGTGCAAGGGGGAGAAAGATTCAGATCTGATTGGGCTCACAGGGTTCCAATGTTCAGGACTTGTGGTTAGCTTGATAGCACCTAACAACAACAACAACGGTAGATTTAAGATCCTCATTGCAGGACTGGATTTGTCAACATCTCAGATTACTTGAAAGCTCACAAATAATGCTTCCCTTTCTTAGTTTAAATATCATAGGCAAACAACAAAGATGTTTAGGAGAACCTGAGTTTTTTTTAAAAAGCAATCAATACACATTTCTTAGGTGTAGCTTCCTGTCTGTGTAGGAATCTAGGCAATGTGACCACCTGCTAAGGAAGGAAGGTGCACTTTGCTACTTCAACCTTTACTATTAAACAAAGCAACTGTCAACAACAGTGTTGAAGTGATAGAGCCCCGCGAGCTTTTTATATCTATAAGAAGAGCAATGAGCCATTTCAGCAACTCAGCAGAGAGAACATTTACTAACAAAATGATTGCAGGGACCCATTGGCTTGATGGATGTCTGGGATTGTATGAAATAGGGGAGTCTTGGTCAAAAACGGTCACAGATGTAAAAGCCGTTAACAGCCCATTTTATTCGTCCAACAAGCTTTATTAGCATGACGTGGGTTCCCTGTCTTCTCTCTCTTTAATGACATTGTTCTATGATCCAATGAATGTTTTCATTTGCAAAATAAGATAGCAGTGACTTGTAATCTGAACTGCGATTTCTTTTGTAATTCCTGTGGAATAAATATGCTAATTCCAGGCTTTGAAGAAGGTCCTGAGTGAGTAGCCCATTACTTTTCTGATTTCTGTAGTTAGTAGGCCCAGGTATGAAGAGGTTAATTAATACTACTTAGAATGTTTCACTCTGTAAAAGCTTCGAGTTAGAAACACAATGAGAAATATCGCAGTGGCACCTTGACGTGCTTGTAGACAGTAAGGAACTCACAACATTCTTGAAAGTAATGTTTAAATCATCAGTTATTAATTGTAATAGCTGAAGTAATTTACTTCAAGCTAGCATTTGAGTGTTTATAAAAGAACCAATTTACTATGAAATGCTACCACAAAAATCTTCACAATGTTTTTACACAAATAATGCCTTCTCATTGAGAAAATTCTCTTTTATCCATAACCAAATACATAAAAATGCAGTTTTTGAGGAAGTGAGCTCCAGAATGGTAGGAAAAGTGTTGGAGGTGGGTGGAGGGGGCTTGTTTTCTGCTGGCTTTAAAACTGGAACGAAACATCTCTCAACATTTGCAAAACATTCCTTTATTATTAGAAATAAATTATTTGTATAAAAAATTGCATGCGTCAACCATGGCATTTATTTTTCAGCACAACCCAGGGCTTCAATCCGGTCAGCCAGTACAAGAAACAGACTCATCGTCTTTACAAGTTGAACAAGTGGGACAGGAAGGGGAGTTCTCACAGTCACAGAAAAATACTTACAAGAATAACATCAGACATGGTTTGTTTCAACAGCATTTTTTTTCACAAGCTAACATTAGGTTTCCTTTTTTTATTTTTTTATTTTTATTTTTTTTTTACTTCTCATGAGTAAGCGATACTTTAGCTTTACACTCATAGATTGTATGTTGTAAAACAGGTTTCCTCAATCCCCGTTATTGAGACTTTTGGCTCGTGGCTAATTTTTTGTTCCTTAAGAGACTGACTATAGGTTCGATTGATTGTAGTCTACAGAGATGTCCAGGAGTGAGTTTTTTGGCGATTCATTGTTGAAGATCACATAGTGTATTTCTTCAGATTGCATCATTTCCCTGTTTCAGATTGAATGATTGCTGTAGCTGATATATGTTGTCTTGGTAGAAGAAGCTGTTAAGATAAATTAACAGGATTATTTTCTTAACATGACTTTAAAATTCAGACTGTACTTCTGATGCATAGCATTTTAACTCATTAGTCTTTTAATTGTGTTGCAGGCTTCCAAAGGACTAAGCAAGAAAAATTCAGCTTTTAATCAATATAACCATAAATTATATATATATTTATATATGTATATAATTATATGTATACATATATACACATACATACATATATATGTATGCATATGTATATATATTATATGTATGTAACTATGTGTGTATATATATATACATGTATATGTATAAGTATACACACACACACACACACACATATACACTTTTGAATAGTTATGCACATGTGTGTGGCTTCCAAAGGATACAAATAAGATGCTTAGAAAGTAAATATTCAAAGATAAAAAAAGAATATTTATTTGTCCTGATACCAACAAACTGCAAAACACCAGTTATATTTTGGAAGCAGGAGTGGCATCTACATCATAAACAACATACCTCTGTAAACTCTATGAACTTTGAGAAATGATGATAGTTCTAGAAAAGCTTCAGGTCTTTTGTTCATAGGGCTGTTAAGAGTCGTACGCAATGGCAATCAACAACAACAACATAAAAATATTAGATAGCTATGAACTGGCTATTTCACAACAGCATCATCACCAACAATATGAATATCAAAACATTTTACATCAAATATACAATCACATTTAAATTTCCAGAAAACAGAAGCTTAACTAATTCTTGGATTTTTTTTAAGATGTGAGGAAATAAGTATCTGTTCTAAAAATGTAATTTCTCATTTCTTCAGTGGTAATTCTAGAATGAATAATTATAAGAATGAATAATCTAGTGGAATTCTAGTATGAATGGTAATAATAATAATAATACAAAAGCTTGTATACATTTTATTACATTAACACAAGATGACATGGAACTTCATGAAAATTCATTTTCTTCTGGTACCCTGGATAAGGCTTGCTGTTGTAAAGAGTTGGTAATGTGGCTCATTCCATTTCTATATTTATAGTGGAAACTGAGCAGAGAAGTTCTTAGCATATACCAGCAGCTGACCAAGTTCACAATCTTTCCTGTCAATGTAGAGATCTGAGAATTCATCTTAGAGATGATTTGCTACTTCTCATCTCAATAAACATCACGACTCTCAGGCCAACAGTAGGAAGCAGATATGGTTATCTACGTCACTCACATTTCTTTTGGGTTTTCACTGAAGAACTCAATGAAAACAAGGGGACTTTAGACCTGGTTTTACATTCCATCTGTTCCCTTAAAAATGTCATTGGATATTGGCTTCGAGACTGGTAAAAATGTACACTAATGCTTTTGTGACAACAGGACCAAAAGAGTAGATTTGTAAGAGAACAGGAACCCAACTTTCCTACTCCCTCCTCCCAGAAACAAATGTCTGTTACATTTGGCTTGATATAGAGTAAAATAAATGCAAATTAAAAATCATTATACAAAAATTATGTATTTTACTCCATATCAAGCCAAATGTATATCATTTCTTTTCCTTTGTTGAACTGTAGTCTCAATTCTGAATTGAATTAATACATACTACTTTTGGTAGTATTGCCATTTTCACAACATTGAGTCTTCCTATCCATGAGCAAGGGATATTCTTCCACTTTTCAAGATCTCTTTTTGTTTCTTTTAGTAATGTTTTATAATTTTCTTGGAAAAGGTCCTTTGTACTTCTGGTTAAATTTATTCCCAAGTATTTAATCTTGTGATTAGCTATTGTGAAATTTATATCATGCTTTCCTCTACCTCTAAATTCCCTCAAAGGAAATACAATCTGTCCTTCAGGACACCTTCAAACAATGTTTTTTGAGAAATGAGATGGTGAAAAATTGTCAAAAAATTACAGAAACTAAATGAAAGGACTGTTCAATTTTCTACTGTGTTCACTATTTTCTACAGTAGGAAACAATTTAGGAAATATCACTCACATTTATAGACAGAAAGGAAAAAACCTATAGGTGGAGTATAGGAATAAAAAAAGACTTTGAGGAAGAAGCTAACTAGTTAGAAGATGTTCACTGTAGATAATAATTTCAGTTTGGAACATCTATAGATTTTAAAATATTCAAACAACACGTTTTCAGCTTTTAGAAATGATCTTCAGGGGAAGCAAAACGAATGTATTAATTCAATTCAGAATTGAGACTACAGTTCAACAAAGGAAAAATGTCATTTTTTTGTTGATTAGAAAATGAGTTCTAGGTTCTAGAAACCTATGATATAGAAATAATGACAAAGGACAAGCTTTGTGAATGGCAGGTGCCTCACAAATATTAGTATCTTTATCTTAAAAGTATTACAGAGTCAAAATAGATCAGAGATTGCCTGACGAGCTATCAGGGAGGGGTTTTGTTCAAGAAATGAATATGCTAATATGAAAATCCGTTTTTTAGTACAACAACGATGGATTTCCTCATATGTACCACACTGTGTTCCTAAGCCAGAGAAAGCAAATCCACCTCCAACAGCAGCTGTCTCATGAATTATTCATGAGCATAGCTTAAGGAATACCATGCATAGCACTTGTTAATTAGGTACACTTGATAAAACCCATACATCCCAACCCTAACTCTTCTCTCACCCTGTTATAAAACAACAGTTGGCCTTTTGGGGTTAAAATGTAGCATTCTGCAAATTCAGCAATTAACACAGACGTCTTGGTTTCCCATCCACTTTCACATTGCACGTATTTCATGGGCTTTTAATGTATTTTGTGTGGGTTTTGCACTTTAAAACTTCGAACATGTGGCCAGATTATCTAGCATTACCAAGTGACCTTTGTGATGAAATGTGTAATTATGATGGGCGTGTAAAAATTCATGCCAGAAAAGAAAGTCCTTGCATGAATATAATAAATATCTAGATAATTGCAGCAAAAACAACAACACAGAAACCCATAAACTAACCACATCTTCCACATATATGACAGAGGAGAATGAGGACAAAGATGGAGGCTAAAACTAGAGTCTTTAACTTCACTATACCTCTTTTCAGTTGCAGAGGGTCATCAAAAAAGAGGGTCCTCCGTGAGATAGCATGATACAGTGGTGGCAGTAGTGAGTTCTACATAGCGGGCTATGCGGATAGCAAAGGATTGGGCCCTCTGTTGTACACAGGGTCAGGTTGAGTTCGAAACCACTTGAAGATACCTAACAACAATAACTCTTTTCTGTTAACCACAGAGTTGTTGTTGTTATGTGCCATCAAGTCGCTTGGGACCCATAGCGACCCTATGTACAAGAGCCCTAAATGCCGTTCTATCCTGTGCCAACATAGCCATCCCAAAAGCACGTATTCCCACAACTCTAGTAACAGAATCAATTCATCTCATTGAAGGTCTTCCTCTCCTTGGCCGCCCCTCCACTCTGCCAAACATAATGTCCCTCTCCAAGGACCAGTCCCTCCTTGCAACATGCCCAAAGTATGTCAGATAAAGCTTCAGAATCCTTGACTCCAAGGAACATTCTGGGTTCACCTTCTCCAGGACAAACCTGTTTGTTCTCCTAGCACTCCATGGTATATTCAACACTCTTCTCCAGCACAGAATAAGCTACATTTTTATGGCAGCAATGGTATCTTTATCCTAATTTGGAAGTAGATACATTTTTTTAATATTGTTGTTTGTTTTTTTAAATTTTTTTTATTTTTAATTTTTTGTGTGTGTGTACCATCAGATCGGATCTGACTGGTACAGGAGGAGATTGCCCCGCTTTCTCCAGAAAAGCATCTGGTGGATTCAAACCGCATACCTTTGGGATTGCAGTGCAGCTTCTTGCCACTAGGCTACCAGAGCTCCCTCGAAGTATATACGCTTTTATACATGAGATTTCCATTTCACTCTAGTAGAGAGTGATCTTTCAAAAATCTGATAGAAAGTAAGGGAATATAGCAATATGGATACTGCTGCATCAGATGAACTCATTCTGGACTTCCTGAGAATGGGCTGCACCCATTCTGAGATGAGCTTCTTTAAGACAGATTATGCATTTTAGACAAACAGTCATGTCTTGTAGGAGGTGCAGCCAGAGAGCTCTGTAGAGGCAAAGATGATGAAGCTTCATCTCACATACTTTGGACATGTTGCTTGTTGTTAGGTGCTATCAAGTCAAGTAAGACTTATAGTGAACCTTATGAACAAAAGATATGAACCTTGTTCTACCCTGCATCATACTCACACATCCTGAGACCCAAGAGTCCATCGCAGCAGTCACCAGGTCAATCCACCTGGCTGAGGGTCTTCCTCTCCTTTGCCAACCATCCACACTTTCTAGCATCATGTCCTTCTCCAAGAAATAGCCCCCCCAGCAACATGTATGAGGCAAAGCCTCATCATTTTTGCCTCCACAGAGCACTCTGACTGCACCCTCTCCAAGACATATTTATTTGTTCCATCCATGGGATGTTCAGTGCTCTTCTCCAATATCACAGCTCAAAGGCTCAGTTCTTTTTCTGTCATCCTTATTCATTGTCCAGCTTTCAGATGTATAGTAAGTAATCAGAAGGACTATGGCCTGAATCAGACGTACTTTAGTCTTCAAACTGACATCACTACTTCTGAATAATTTGGAAAGGTCCCTAACTGCAGATTTTCCCCAGTGCAATATGTTTCCTTATTTCCTGACTGCTGGTACCAAGAGTGTTAATTGTAGATCCAAGGTGGTAGCAGCAAGGTGGTAGAAATGTGCATGAAAATGTAATACCCTGTCTCTGGTGAATGTACGAACTTTCATCACTTTATCTAGACTCATCTATACAAATCTTAACTACTAAAGTGAAAGAGAAACATAGTCCATTCCCTAAAGAACAATTTAACCTTCTTATAGATAGTAATTTGGATTGAGGCTCAATGTCAAGAAGACAAAGATTCTCACCACTGGACCAATTGGCAGCATCAGGATGGATGGTGAAGAGATTGAGATTGTTCACAGCTTTAGTTTGCTTGGCTCTGTAGTCAAC